GTAATTAAACATTTTGTATGTCATTCAATAGCTAAACGCCGAGTAATTTGCGTACAATTATGGACAATTATATCAAGATATGTGCATGATAAAGAAATAAATTGCAATAAAAGATTTTTGTAAATAATTTCTCAGACTTCCTACATGTAGGCAGTACAAGTGTCAATAAGGTGCCGCATGATAAGTTTGTTTACTGTATAGCCAGGGGTCTTCGTGCAGGTTTCCATCCAATTTCCAGGGATTTCAGTTACAATACTGGGCGTTTTATATGTTTTTTATATCAATATATTACGAGTGTTCACCAAAAATTTTTAATCAATTGGGGTTAATTGACTTAATTCCTCCTGAGTTACAGCGTCTTGGAAAATAGAAGTGCTGACGTCAGCGTCACTTTCGAACGCCTTCAGAAACAGTGTTATAAATACACAACATTTAGTTAAAAATTCTTGGTTAAGATTAAGACGGGACTTCTGATATAAACAAGAATCTAAACATTTTGGCCCATACTCACCTTATTTTAGCATTTGATTTTTGGATAAATGCTTGGTGGTATAAAATGGCGAATGTTATACCACCAAGCACTTATCCAAAAATCAAATGCTAAAATAAAGGCGAGTTTGAGCCAAAATGTTTAAATTCTAAAAGCTATTCTGAACAAAAAAAATATACCTGCACCAACAAACTGGGAGAAAAGATCCTGCCCCAGTATTTGGTGGGAAAAGAAATGTTGCAAAACAGCATGGTTGCAGGGATGTATTTGACCAGTCCCAGAAGATCAGCTGGTTTGATTTTCAGCGACTAGTGTAAGGTTAATTTCTTGTTAGAAAACTCCTCAAAATGCTGGAAATAGCTTATGGACCGGTCATTATTTATGGTGGGGGGTGGCACCGAAGAGAAAAGGGTTGGGTAAACTAAATTTTGAGTAAGTAAAAGGTTGGGTAAATGAAAAACAAAACAACTCAAGGGTTGGGTAATAAAAAATTATTGTCGGCATTTCCAAAGCATGACTCACTGAAGTATTGGGGACTAAAAAGCAATGGCAACAGTAGGCCCTACTCTGGGGCGATAACGAGATAATGCGAGTTTAAGCAATTTTAGGTTATTTAAGCAAAATCTGCAATTTAAGCAATGCGAGTTAGAGCGATATAGGGCAATGTAAGAAAACAATTCAGTAAATTAAAATTTTAGGGAATGCTGTTTAGGTGTTTAGAGGTAATTTCAGGAATATACAACTATATCCCTGATGACTCCAATGAAATTACCATTAACCTATGCCAAGCATCCAAACATGAGTGTTCCCACAAACACACACACATGCAGTGTATGAAGCAAAATATACAATTTTTCAAAAAAAGTTGAAGTCTGCTTGAGGGGGTTCTGGAAACAAACAATACACTGTATGCGCATGACGATCAAGTGTTTAAAGGGTAAATAAACTCAATATTCATGACTTTTTTCATCCATTGTCTATTTCGAAGCCATTGGGGTATTATTAAATTCATGACACAACTATAATACATGACCACATGTTCACATCATATGCAACTGCAAACAATTTTCAAAGGAGTAGGGTACAGAATTGCAATATAACAACATATAAGTAAATTATACATGTCATGAACTTACCAGTTTGTGTTGAGTTAAATTTAAAATTTTTTATGACATCAAATATTATTTATTTATTTGCAAATCAAAACATTTTAAAATTCTCGTGTTTTGTTTTGTATTGCGCCCGCGATATATTAATGGTATTAACCGCTGTGAATATGATATACATTTTTAATACATCCATTTGCGCTCAAAAGTTCAGGAAGTGAGTTTCTAGAAAGGATGAAAAATCCGTTTTATATATGGTATGTAAAAGATAATCGTTGTTTACTGTTTACTGTTTATTTTGTATTCAGGTATGGGGAATTTAAGCGATGAGAGTTGCAAAACTTGCAAATGTAGTCTGACTAGTTTCTTTGACGTCATCATGCAACTATTTAATATTGTGCTACATTCATTATTCAATTTATTCACGGCAATTAGCCTTCTATAAGCCATACAAATGATTATAGCTTATAGCCCACCTTGCCTTTAACATTGATCCTATATATAATGAATTAACATAACTAACTTGATTATGTTGCTAGTCGAGTATGGGACCTATGGGTCTTCTAGATCCTAGAGTAGCACAATTAATATAAAGTCTCCATAAGGCGGTAATATTAAAGACTGTTCTTATTTATGCATGACCTTTGACTATTAAGTGGCCAAAAATTGTGCCTACAGTAGTCAACTTATTCCACTATCCAGGTTGCATCACTTTTGATTGCAAAACACCCGGGTTTATTATACATGGATTTGCTAGCGAAATAGCAGCAATTGATGAACTTGGTGTTATACTAAGATTTACTAAATGTGTGAAGAAACAACGAAAAGTATATATCAACTAGAGTCGCTATCTTGATCAATTTCCAATGGGATCTCCAAAAAAAGTAGCTACATGTGCAGACAACATGAAACTTCAGACTGCAGAAAATTTCACAATCCGTTATCAAACTTATGTCACAGAAGTGGTAAAGGACATATGTGACAACTGAATGGTACCTTTTGTAAATTTTTTGGCCAGGGGTGGCTATTTATTTTTTAATTGATATTTGAGGTTGGGTAATCAATTTTTTTTTCTTTTTAATGGTTGGGTCAGCAAAATTTTTGCTACGAAAAACATTTCTCTTCGGTGCCACCGTGAGCTAATTCAGTTAAGAAATCTAAAGTTGCCGACCGGAACTTCTCCAGGTCCCCTGCTAAATATATCCTCTCCAGTTACATATACTTAATTTAAAAGAGGCCCTGAACCAAATGATATACCTCATAGCAATATGTATTATTAAAAGCAATGCATGAAGCTAGGAAACTCAATTAACGTTAACTATTATTAAAGAATTAATCTAAATAGTAATAATATAAGCTATTGAAAAAGCAAATGCTGCGAAAGAGAGAGTGGCAAAGAAATATCGTACATATATGCATGGTGATGGCATCATAGATATCTTATATACACTAGATAGCGCATCTCTATTAGTAAAATTGAAGCCAGGAATATTCCAGCGGTTACCTCGATTTGAATAGATGGCGGCCATGTTGCTAGTTCCCACGCTTAAAAAACAACAATAACTTTCATCATTTGAATAGTTTAAAAGTGTATTTGGAATAGGTTTAACTTAATATTTAAGTTTCCTGTTTAAGAAATAGAAAACGTACAAATCTTCTCATTTCATGGGAATATCTAGACTTGCCACAAGTCGACCATGGGAAAGGGAGGGCGCGGGGGAGGGAGCGCGTAACCCGAGCGACGAAGTCGCGAGTGTTCGACTTGTGTCGCTTGCAGGAATTTAAATCGCATTAAAAATTTTGGCGCGAATAATTTTGACATAAAAGGGTGTGTACATTTCATACAATTACTTCACCGCGTCGACAATGGGTCTACAAAAACACAAAAACATTCTCAAGAATTGACTATATTTCTTTGTCGTCGAATGAAATGACGCAAGTTAAATAAGCGCCGAAAGCTGTTCAGAGGGGCCCGGAAATCTCAGTAAAATGTTCGTATATTGTTTATCATCGGCAATTTCCAGAGGGACAGGGCCCGTGTTCACAAATCGTCATTTTGTCCCGGGGCCCGTGGTTGGCCCTCGCCGGCCTTGAAAACAAGTGTATTCTAAAAACTTATTGAATCTGGACAGTTGTTTGTCGATCTAACAATGTGTGCCGTAATTATATGTCGACAAGAATAGTAATTTATTAGACTTATTATAGAAAGTTGATTCAGTTCGCCAGAATCAGATAACTGTAACCAAGAAGCAGAGAGGCGGCGATTGTGATCAACTAGAAGACGTCGCTAGACTTTCAAAATCCAGGAAAAATACACGACGTTGTTTTCTCAGCAAACGAATTTGTAATAATCCGTAATCGAGATCAAGAAACCCAGTCCCAAACAAAACCCGAAACTAGTGTGGAAATTTTAGAATCATCAAATGCATCTTCGGTGGTAGTATTAAAGTTTATTTCTACACCCTGCATACGAACCAACAACATACGCATATTTTGTGCGTTCTGTAATGTTGCCTCTGGTTGTGAATTGGGCTTCGACTTGGGAAAACCGACGTGCTGGATCGCTTGGCCTGTAAGGTGGGAGTTTGATGCTGATGGAGGCCACCGGTGGATGCTGGAAGTGGTAGGTTGCGCGTCGGAGGTTGAAACTGTTGCAGACGAAGTATCTAACTGTTGACTATTCATTGCTGCATAAAGTAAAAATCGTTGGGGTCACCAATTTAGCATGAGTATTGATGTTGTAATGTTTGTGAAAATACTCAGAACGCTAATAGTTAATTTGATACATTTTATTTTACTTCACAATTGAAGAGTCGTCTTCTAATATCTAGTACACGAGTTGAGCACCATTAAGGCCGTTTTCCACTAGGCGGAATTTTCCGCACGGAGCGGAATTTTTTTTTGTCTTGTGATTTCTCGGGTGGAACTAATTAGAAAAGACAAAGAGAAATTATGCTCCGCGCGGAAAATTCCGCCTAGTGGAAAACAGTCTTTACTCGAAACAGCGCAAAGCGAAGCAAACACTGTCTCACTAGGAATATTTAAATATACGCGAGTTAGTAAAGGCGAGGCGGAAAAGCAATTAAGATTAGTGTCAAGATAATTAAGGCGCGTTAATACAATTAGGCTAGAAGTGATAACAAGATATAAATATGTACAAGTGTTGGTTGCCAAGAGGAAATTTTATGTTAATGGTATTTGCGGCGTAAAGATTAAATTTAGGCGAGTTTACTTCCTAAATGGTTCAAAATAATATAACAAAAAATAATGTTTGTAGATGTTCCACTGCATAACATGCGCTTGGTGATTTAGCATGGCTATCACAACAATATTTAAAACCCTTTCAAAATTACAAATCTCCTCAAAATCCTAAAATCGTGCAAAAAAATCCTTCATGATATCTGTCAAAACATTGCTGAAAGAGTATTAGTCATTTTCTCCATCTGACCTGTTAAATCACCCTTGGCATTCGGCAACCAGCCATACATTGGCATGGGATCTTGATCTACGACACAGCTGCTGTCACGCTCTAGTACACCTCTCTTGACCAGATCAGCAACAGCACGCTCAGCTGCCGTTGTGACGACGCTGAGATCTTGTGGAAATGCGACCTGGCCCATCGTTAGCGGCCCCATGTAATAAATGGGTGAATCAAAATATTGTGCACGGGAAACCAGAGAGAAATTATTGATATCGATAAGTGCACCAGGTGGACGGAAAAAACGGGAACCACTTCGCGTGACAACCATGGGATGGTCTTGGTACTTCTTGGATTGTTGGCTGTTACGAAACGGGACCAGGACCTCTTTAATGAGCTTCTCATTCCTTAAAGATGCCGTGAGAGGTGAAGAGTCCTTCTCGAAAGCGGCTTGCTGGCCGGTGGCGTCGACCATGAACTCATGATATGCCTCAACGGTGGAATCTTCCTCAGGACGCCAGGTTAGTTTGATCCCTTTGTTGTGAGCTGCTTCATCAATCGTGTAATTATTTCCAATCTTTTTTATTTCCAAAAATCCCCCCAAAATAAGAGCGTGTATCTTCTCAGCGTTCTGCATGGGAAAAGGAGCGATCAACAAATGGAGTTCGGTCTTGATTTCTTCGAACCTGATGCGATCTTCCGCCGAGAAGTAGTTTAAAGCTTCATCGAATATTGCATAGGACTGATAAAAGACATTCTGAAGCAGTAGAGGAATGCCAGTTATCAGACTGCGCTTCGCTTCCTTAATCTCTTGCTCTAATCTCTTGGCAGCATCAGTTGTTTGTAGATACTTTCTCATTTTGAATACCGCTTCTTCCAACGTCAAAGTTTGCCAATCGTCAGGCAAATGTCTACGAATGTGTGGCACTTCGTCATAGATTTCTTTCTTAAGAAAATACCAAAAGTCATTTAGAGGAAGGAATCCGTTATTGGCTTTAATAACAGGAATAAACGATGCTGCTGTTAAGTATTTATGCGCAAATATTTTGTTCACCACAACACCCATGACTTGAGGTAGTATGGCTTTTCGACCATACATCGTTATCTTAAATGATTCGGCGCCTTGAAAAGGTCGGAATATTAGGCCGTTTCGCTGCCCTGAATGAAATTCACCATTCATATTGCTAAGAGTAAGAGCGGTGTCGATTGCGGATAACGAGCAGCCAAGTATTCCAGTGTTGCTACCGAGTTTTATCTTCTGCTGTATGGTTTGGGGCGGAAAGGGTGAAGGGATCCAATGTTCGAACTCGGGAAACCTGTTGTGTATCCAATTGCCCGTTGCAATGAACAATGTTTTTGCCACAACTTTACCCTTGCCTTCAAGATGTAGTTCATAGCCACGCTGTCCACGCGAATGCTGTTTATCTGTTCGTGCAACTGAGTTGACCGGAGTTAGGTTATGGACATCTACCGTGAAACCTGACATCCTGAGCTTTTGGACAAACTGATCGAAACGGTCGCTTAAATACAAGCCCACGATGAACCTTGGAAATGGATGATGAAGCCAATTTGCATTCTCGTGCTCCTCGACACCCATACTAACCCTGCGTTCTGGCGTGAGAGAGCGAAGCCAAAGTAGAAAGTCAGACTTTTCTGAAACTGGTATGTAGGTTGCCGTTATCTGCGTGCACCCTCCGGGAATATTGACGATATGATCCGGGATGGTCGATAGTTTTGAGTATGCATACCCGGGCCAAGCTCCTCACGTCGTTCTACAACAAGAATACGAAAGCGACGTTGTTCTTTGGGTATCTTATTCAAAGAAATTTGACCTAGCACGGCGGTCCCGTAAGCCCCAACTCCCACTATTGCGACATCGTACATAAGCCGGGTGTCATCCATCTTGATCTTGTGATCGATGCTTCTAAAGAAAACAATGCTTAATTTAATGACATTTACGGCCGTAGCATAATATCTTTTTTGAACATGGATATAGGACTAATCAATAACCAAATAGCTGTTTCTATCCATTGTGCATGATCCGGAGCATTAAAGAAATATTTGTTATCTGCACCAACGGCAAGAAAAATCGTAGCAGCAACTTATATTTATAACCCAGTTTATTACTAATTTGCCCAGTGAATGGTTTCTTCGGTTAAAGAAACGCTTAGTTTAGAAACGGGCGTTTCAAGGAATATTCCGGAATTTCACAGAATATCGTGGAATTTTCCGATAATATGATGTAACTTCACCAAAAATACTGAGATACAGATGTGACTGTCTTCACAATGGATCTGATAGCATATAGCGTAACATTTCCGAATCTTTGAAAATTTACAAGAGCCTCCTGCATGTAATAAAATTTACCAGCTGATACGTTGGTTTTCAAATGGAGTCAAATCATCTGCTCAGGGTCATTAATCATGACAATTAGGAAGATGTAGCTCAAATATATAAGCTGGGAGTTTCATGGCGGGCTTCGATTTTTCGCCTTTTAACGTGATGACCTGTATGAATAAATAGATGAAGATAAATCAACTGAGCTGTGTGTTTAGCATTGAGATTTGCCCAGATGTCTTTTTTTTACAATTTTAAGATGGCATTTCCATCGTCTTCGAGTTTTTAAAATCTGACACAACGAAAACAAGCTGAAAAACTAGGTTTAATTGAAAAACAGTTTTCCGTTAGATTAATTTGGATATATTTCAACTTGGTTTGTATCCGTACAAATATTTAGGGAATGTTTTCCACCTTCGTTTTGCTCATTTATAGCATACAAGACAGTTGTCATCTAGTTTTGACAAATGGTTTCGATTTGCAACAGACGTGCATTCTTACAATACAAGATATGCACAAAATATTGATAATTTTGATATCAGCATTTTGACGTGATATAAGGCTGATATGACAATTTCGCAGATGGCTGTTAGCCAATCAAGAACCATGAATATTTTAAATTATATATAATAATAATAATAATAATAATAATATTTAATATTTCTATTGCGCGATTTTACATATGTATATATGATGAAGTGCGCAAAACAATTACAGCCGGAACTGGCGTGAAGTAGACCGAGGTGGACTGTGAACTTACAAATGGCGTTTTAAACAGCCGCTATTAGCCCATACGTCATTAATGATCTGCCCCCTAACCTATATGCCTAACCCGTCCTGTCAACTTTCCCTGTGGGAGGAATCCGGAGTACCCGGAGAAAACCCATGACTTTCGGCAGAGCGTAACTGACTTTTACTCTTTTCACATGAGGACAGGTATCGAGTTTGGAATCGTATATGAGTAGAGTGCTCAATCAGTGCCTTTTTTTAACTATATATCTGTCTCCAGGAAAGAATTGCCCCCCCAGTAAAGCCATTTCTGCCCCCGAAGTGCGAAGCAGAATTGCTCATGATTGCTGTCAGAATTGCGGTTGATTGACTTGATAATGAGATTATGCCCTTCCATATATAGCCTCCTCCACAGCCATCTTATGTGTAATTCATATTGTTCTTCACCGAGTATGTCAAAATAGCGATAGATTTCATGCAAACAATCCGATAAAATGCTGGTTCCAAGAAGAATAGATTTAGTTTAGATTTTTAACGGTTAAATACATGTATGCATCATCATAGCATGAATATTTCTTCTCAGACTTATTCCGTATCGTATGAAAAAGCAACGCAATTTTGAGAATGCAGAAATGGTGTCTCATTGAACCTAAAATGATTTAAATGCAACATTTCCGATCAAAATCACATTGGGATCCCCCCCCCCCCAGCATCACAAAGAGGAAATAAGGTGACACTGACCCCTCCTCCTATTTTTCAAGGTGATTTTTCCAATTTATTTCATTCCGAGTACAAATGTCTGGAAAAACTCATGTCTTCGATGTACTTTATAATCTTCGGAACTCTTCGGAATTTCACTCCCAAAATGCTTGAAATCGCAATTCAGGGACCCTAGATTTAAAAATTTTCCCGGGGGTGCATGCCCAAGACCCTCCTAGTCAGCTCAATACAGTAGTAGAGCTAATAAGATTAGAAGACAAACTTGAGTTACTTCATATATGTAAATTTTCGTCAATTAATTCATCCCCCAATATTTTCATTTTCGCGGACAAAACTAGAAATATTTACGGAACGTCACTGAACACATACAACGAACTCTTACATGACAGCATCACGAAAACGTACAAACATGGATCAGAGAACTTTATAGATGAATTTGACTCCGAATTGAAAGAAATTTTGAGTAGGTTAATTGGCGACAGAATTGAACGGACGAATGAAAAAACGCGAAGCATTTGTAACTTTAAAAGATCACAAAGAAAATTTCGAGAACAATCCACAATGCCGATTAATTAATCCCGCAAACAGCGAATCCTGAAAACTAAGTAAGGTTATTTTAGATAAAATCAATTCCAATTTGAGACAAAAACTAAATTCAAATCAATGGAGGAATACGCAACAAGTAATTTCATGGTTTGGCAATATAAACAATAAAGACAGGCACATTTTTATTTCGTTTGACATTGTGGATTTTTACCCATGCATTTCCGAATAATGAAGCATTGGCCTGCAGGGCTTCTGATTTGGCTACTACCACCGAAAACGATATTTCAATAATAAAACATGCAAGAAAATCTCTACTTTTTGGCAACGGCAAATTATGGACAAAAAAATTACGGAAGCAACAGTTTATTCGACGTTAGTATGGGTAGTTTCGACGGCGCTGAAATTTGTGAGCTGGTAGGCCTTTTCATTTTAAATCACTTAGGTAAGAGGTTTGGCAAGGAAAACATCGGCCTTTATAGAGATGACGGTTTGGCTATTATAAAAAGCAAATCCGCCCGTTTACTAGACAAAACTAGAAAAGAGTTACACAAAATTTTCGAGCAATTTAACCTGAAAATCATCACACACTCTGCTCGGCATGCAAATCATAGATAATAGGACAGGTTAATGACACTGCCACGACTCTAAGTAAAATTAATAAATTTAATAAAAAAGAATAACTTAAATATTCGGCAGCATGCCACCGCCTTCCTCAGAAAGTAAATAAATATGGAAAATTACCTTACTTAGCCTATATACAACAATATGGATAATTAAAGTAAATGATACAATATAAACAAAGAAACCTATTGTTGAGAATAATCATGGCTGGTATTCAAACCCCCCAAATTAGTGAGCAAAGTGCCTATCCAAAAGTTTTCACACTTTTCTTAAGTGAATAAATTTCAAGTTGAAATGCTCGCTCCCGTGCACATCTACACAGTAAAAACAAATTGGTTAAAATGACCAAAAAAAATTGGTCGTTTGAATGCGTCTGAGACAACCAGTTTAAATTGGTCGTTTTAACCAAAAAAGTAATTGGTCAAACCACATGTTCTTCATGTTGTCACCAAGACAAATGCTTTATTGAAGACGCATAACGTTAAAATAAAAGTATATGCATCACAATATTCCAATATAGCTACACTGTACAATAGCGGCTTAAAGCATGATCAAGTGCTCAAGCCTTTTTCGCGGTCTGTACTAACAATCATATACTGTACTACATATAGTCTTATGGTCATATGCCAGATACTTACAAGTTGCATGAAAAGTCAAAACACTAATATTGTGGTGTTTCAAATGTGGTTATGGTGTGTGTGTGTTTGCCAGACAGTACTATGGTCTAAAAACATGTACGATAGAATGTAAAAAAAACAATTCCGGATATTGGGTGGTCCGTATAAATGCAAAATGTATTCAAACAAAAATATTTACTCGAGAGGCAAACATTGATCTGGTGCCATGTAAACTGGGCTTGTGAATTTAAAATATATCACAGCACATATAATATAATGTTCATCAACAAACGTCAAAACGATTAACGATCCACTAATGACTTTTCGGACATGTGGAATTTATTAAAGTTAATTATGCTTAGGCTATATATCATAGTTTATCATTTTCAATGATTCATAAGATCTAAGTGGAGCAGAAACATTTACAGATATATGTTATAGTATCACACTTTTGTCCATTGGCAATGGGAGAATGTGAGATTTTTCTTCACTTTAACATTCCTTATTCCTGCGCGCCTGGTTCATACCCGCAATAATACCATTCCTTGTGTTGATATACTATAAGCACATGCCACTTGAATCTATAAATCACACCGTTAATTTTTTTTCCAATATTGAAAAACTGTTGCTAATGGTTGCGTTAATGAATGTTTTGGAATTTCCGCCGAACAACAGCTGGTGTTGCAAATCAGTAGAGTAGCAATCAAACAGTATCAGTATATATCTATTATTGTTACGATACATTCACTAAATTCAAATTATAATGCATATATATATAAAACTTGCAATCATACCCACAAATCATTTTACTCCTGTCTTCACGAGGTGTTCTTATCAGCCATCAGCGTTTATACTGTTTGCGATTCCAAAGCGAATGTTGCCTGTTGGTGTTGTTCAACGAAGGCAAATGGACTAGTATTTTAAATACGAGCAAAGTTAGAAGAATTTTGAGCGGAGTATCTAAGCTAAGCGAAGGAGCTTCGATTGAGGTGTAATATGATGATGTAAACTATGAAGCGGTTGCGGT